ATTGTTTGCTTTTTGCTGTACTTCATGAGGCGTTTCAAAGGGGGCTTTTGGGCTTTGAAAGTTGGTCTTCCAGTATTGGGGAGAATGGATTGGGAGATATGAGAAGAGCCTAGTTGAAATGTATAATATTGCTGGATAAATGCATGTTGAATTTAATTATATTTGTTTTTGAGACCATATATGATTGTTACAAAAATTAGTTTTCTGGCAGTTTTTGAGTATTTCTTAACTAAAAAAAAATCTTTTTTGCACATTTTATTAGTTTTATTCTAAGAATGAATAAATGTTTAGTACTTTTAAAGCGTATATTACATGTGAGAAACAGAGCAGGTTGGTGCTATGTAATAAGATAATAGACTTTTCATTCATCCTCCTGTTTACCAAGAGTGAGGAAGAAACATTGGGAAAATGGTCTCATGGTTCGCTGTATAATTTTACTAAATTTGTTTTAAAGATCATTCCAAACGATTTTTGTAACTTTGTTTTTCATCTGATTCCTAGAAGTAGGTTGTTTTGTTTTGTTTTGTTTTGTTTTGTTTTGTTTTGTTTGAGCTGGAGTCTTGCTTTATTGCCTAGCCTCGGAGTGTAGTGGTGAGATCTCAGCACCCACTACACTCTCCGCCTCCAGGGTTCAAGCAATTCTCCTGCCTCAGCCTCCGGAGTAGCTGGGACTACAGGAATGCACCACCATGCCCGGCTAATTTTTTTGTATTTTTAGTGGAGATGGGATTTCACCATGTTGCCCAGGCTGGTCTCGAACTCCTGACCTCAGGTGATCCACCTGCCTTGGTCTCCCAAAGTGTTGGGATTACGGGCGTGAGCCACTGCACCTGGGTTGGAAGTAGTTTTAAATTAACATCAGCAGCAATTTATTTTCCTAAATTCTTTTTTTATCTTTTTTATTATAAAGTGAAATAAATGCAGAAAACCACACAAAACAGATGTGTAGCTTAGTGAATTATAAGGCTAGCACCTGTGTAACCCTGTCCTTTAAAAGTAACCACTGTCCTGGGTTTTCTGAAAATGAATTAAGCTTTTGGTTTTATTATCCAAGTATGTATCCCTAGGTGCTATCGTTAAGCCTGCTTTCTTGCTCATGCTCATACAGGTTCTTGCACTCCCCTCTCCTTTTTTTCCTTTTCATTAAGTTTTCTTTCTTTATACCTTCTGTTTCTCTGATTTTATCCAATACTTTTTTTTCTGATAGTCCTTTAAGTCTTCATTTCTGAAATGATTTTTTCCCTTTTATTTTCACTCTTTCTTGAGCTCCATTCACCTCATTTCTGAGCTTTTCTAATTCTGATATATCTGAGATATATATGTGTGTGTGTGTATCAATTATCCAAGAAATATATATATTATACAAGAAATACATATACCAGATACATATGTTGTAATGTATAATGTATATCTGATATATGTATTTCTGATATATATATGATATATCTGATTTATATATCTCTCTGATCTATATAGCTAATATATATTGTATGTATTGTGTATTATATATTACAATGTATATATATCTGATATATGTATTTCTTGTATAACCTTTTTTTTAAGTTTACTTTGAAATAGGAGTTCATTTTTATCACTTCTATGAGCATCTCTTTAAGGCTTGCTTTTGTTGTTTATAGGGATGTTATTTTATTCTGTTTCTTTTTTTTAGTAACTTTGTGTGGGATTCAATCTCTTGGGAGTATGAATGCTTTCATTTATACTGTGCTAGGAATAAGATGCGTACGAGTAAATAATTGCATTATGGGACATATACTAAACAATCAAAGATATTATGAGAATATACAGAGTAGGAACTTACTTTCCCCAAAGTGTAGGGATTGGATGAGGTGGGCTTACAATCATAATGGAGGTTTATTATTGGTGTATCAATATGTTTAATCCATTTTTTCTTTTTTATAATATTTTTTCTTTTTTATAATTGATATGTTTTGGGGGACGCATGTGATATTTTGGTATGTGTTTACAATGTATAATGATCAAATTAGGGTAGTTGAGATACCTGTCACCTGAAACATCATATAGTAGTTCTGATTTTAGTTTTTGAGGACTCTCTATATGGTTTTCCACAATGGCTGTATTGCTTTACATTCCCACCAACAGTGTATGAGCATTCCCCCTTTCTCCACATCCTTGCCAGCATTGTTATTTTTTGCCTTTTTGATAATAGGCTTTCTCACTGATATAAGATGGTATCTCACTGGAGTTTTAATTTGCATTTCTTTGATGATTAGTGATGTTGAGTATTTTTTTCATGTTTATTGGCTGCTTTATGTCTTCTTTTAAAAAGTAACTTGTTCATGCCCTTTGCCTGCTTTTTGATAGAGTTGTGTTTTTCTTGTTGTTTGCATGTCTTGTAGGTTCTGTATATTAGTCCTTTGTCACATGTATAGTTTGCAAATATTTTTTTCCCATTCCGTGAGTTGTCTCTTTCCTCTGTTATTTATTTTGCTGTTCAGAAGCTTTTTAGCTGATTAAGCCTCACTTGTCTGTTTTTGGTTTTGTTGCAATTGCTTTTGAGTTCTTAGTCATAAATTCTTTGTTCAGGCCAATGTTCAGAAGAGTTTTTCCTAAATTTTCTTTATTTTATAGTGTAGTTTCAGGTCTTATATTTAAGTCTTTAGTCCATCTATAATTAATTTTTGTATATGGTGAGACATGGACCCAGTTTCATTCTTCTGCATATGGCTATCCAATTTAGTAGTGCTTTTATACAAATAAATTTACTGTTGATTTCTTTCAATTACTACTTTAAAATGAAATATTGTTCAGATGAAATTAAAATATTTTATTTTTTATTTTTTTATTTTTATTTTTATTTATTTATTTTTTTGAGATGGAATCTCACTCTGTTGCCAACCTGGAGTGCAGTGCAGTGATCTTGGCTCACTACAACCTCCAACTCCCTGATTCAAGCGATTCTCCTCCCTTAGCCTCCCGAGTAGCTGGGATTACAGGTGTGTGCCACCACGCCCAGCTAATTGGAATTAAAATAATATTTTAAAAGTTTACTTTTGCTATAATATTGTCAAATATCATCAAGTGTCTCTTAAGTAGAGACCTGAAATTTGGAAAGTGAAAATATCACAAAGCAGAATGGAAAACATAGTACCATGCATAGTATTCTATACTTGAATGATAACTTGCTCAGTAATTTTTTTCTTTTTCTTTTTTTTTGAGACAGAATCTTGCTCTGTCATCCAGGCTGGAGTGCAGTGGTATGATCTCGTTCACTGCAACCTTTGCTTCCTGGGTTCAAGCAAGTCTCATGCCTCAGCCTCCTAAGTAGCTGAGATTACAGGCACCCGCTACCATGCCCAGCTAATTTTTGTATTTTTAGTAGAGACGGGCTTTGCCATTTAGGCCAGGCTGGTCTTGAACTTCTGACCTCAAGTGATTTTCCTGCCTTGGCCTCCCAGAGTGCTGGGATCAGTAAATATTTTAATGAATATCATATTTCATCCTTCAGTTTTTTTTGTTTCATATGGTTTGATTAAAATGTCTCCTTTGTTTCATTAAAACAAAACTTAGTGATGTGGTATGGTTTGGGTATAATTTTCCTTTTGTACTTCTATTCAAACTGACAGCAAGTTAGAGCCAGGTTGTGCTTGCTTGAAGTACTCTGCTTAGGGATATTGAGTCCATTGTTTTCTATTTTCTTTCTTTGATTAACAATACTTTTGACTTGGTCTGTATTAGCACCTCATAAAATATAGAACTTTAGTGTTTACAAAGTGATCTCATGTCTATTGTTTCTTTTGCACTCTTAATACAAATAACTACAGTAAAAAGAGGAAATGTAAATGCTTGGAACACAGTGGGAGAGATTTAAAGTCTCTAACAGAAAAAAGCTGGGGTGGGAATTATGTGGAGGAGTTGTTGTTAAATTAAGCCTTAAATATTAGAGTTTGACTGAATGGTGGTAGGGAAGGTAGACAATCCAGTTGTTAGAATATCAAAAGCAAGCATATAGAGAAATGTGCAGGAAGTATTTGAACAGGATTAGTATAGTTTGAACTGACTTGTAATAGAGAAGCATTAGCTTGGGCATATAGATATTAAATCAGATATATTGATTTTTTTTTTTTGTCTTTTTTACTTATGAAGCAATCTAGGCAGGATGTCTGACTAGTGTAGTAGTGAATAGTGTGAACTCTGGAGCCATACTTCCAGTTTGAAGCACACTGTTTAATCCTTCTCTGTATGTGTTTCTGCATATAAAATAGACACTAACAATGGCAACTACTTGATAGGGTTGTTAGGAGTAAGATTAAAAGAGCTAATAACAGTAAAGTATTTATAATAATGTCTGTTATCAGTAGGCATTCATGAGTTTTTTAATTTATGAAAGTACTAGCTTTTTCATTCTGTGTGTGTGCATTTGTAATGTACACATACATGTGTGAGTATATATGGAATATAATATGTGAGTGTGTGTGGAATAGATTCAGAGAAGAAATGTAGATCTCACATGTAAGTATCTATAGGAAAACTAGTAATGTTCGAATTTCAGTTTTGATTAGAATTTAGATTATTATATAATAAAGTCCATTATTTCATTTTACAGATGGCAAAGTTATGTACTAGCAGAGCTAGAACCAAATTTTGCTAGATCACGAATATTTGAGCAGTAAGCAAAACAGACAACTAGCTCTGTCCTTATGAGGCTTTCAGTTAGTCAGGAAAGATATATATTAAACCATCTCAGGTGTGACAAATGTTATAAAAAAGTTAGAGTACTATGGGAGATTAGAACTGGGACCCCTCCGTAATCTGGAATTTTAGAGAATTCTTCCCCCAAGATTTCTTTTTTTTCTTTTTAGACAGTCTTCCTCTGTCGCCCAAGCTGGAGTGCAATGGCACAATCTTGGCTCACTGCAGCCTCTGTCTCCCAGGTTCAAATGGTTCTCATGCCTCAGCCTCCAAGTAGCAGGGATTAAAGGCACACACCACCATGCCCAGCTAATATTTGTATTTTTAGTAAAGATGGGGTTTTGCTATATTGGCCAGGCCAGTCTCGAACTCCTGGTCTCAAGTGATCTGCCAGCCTTAGCCTACCAAATTGCTGGGATGACAGATATGAGCCACTGTGCCTGGCTGCCTTCTCCCAAGATTTCCAGGCTGAGATGTGAATAATAAATAGCAGTGAGCCAGGGTTAGGTAGAATAAAGAGTGTTCCAGCCAGAAGGAGTAGGAGTTGTATAGGCTCTGAAAGAGGAGAAACCGTGGTCTATTCAGATATCTGAAATGGAGAGAACAAGGGGAAGGGTAGCAAAAAATGTGACCTGAAAGGTTAGAGCATGGCTAAAATACACAGGGTCTTGTATACAAGGTTAAGGATTTTTACCTAAGAGTCCCCTTGATGGATTAAGCAGGAAAGGGACATTGCTAGATTGACATCATGCACTATTACATTAGCTATATTACAGAGGACAAATTAAGACAGTCTGGCATAAATTTAAGAAGATAATGTGGGAGCTATTGTGTGTGATTTGCAGAACACACCATAGGGGTTTCCATTCATGTATACAGGTTGTGCATCCCTAATACAAAAATCCAAAACCTGAACTGCTCCAAAATCTGAAGCTTTTGAGTGCCGACATGATGCCATAAGTGGAAGATTCCACATCTGACCAAACGTGATGGTTTGTAATCAAAATGCAGGTGCACAACACATGATTTATTCAATGTCTCCAAGGGAAAAATAAAATTACCTTCAGGCTATTTATATAAGATATATATGAAAAATAAATGAATATTATGTTTAGACTTGGGTCCGAACCCTAAGGAATCTCATTATGTATGTACAAATAAATATTACAAAGTCCAAAAAAATACCAAATCCACAGCATTCTGGTCTCAAGATTTTCGGATAAGGAGTGAATATTCAACTTATATTACCTTTGCAGTGGTCTGGATGAAAGATGATGTTGGCTTGGACTGTAGTTGTGACAGTGCAAATGGAGAAAAGTGGACAGATTTCAGAGCTATTTTAGATTTAATGACCCCAAAATTTATCTCCAGACCAGACATCTTTCCTGAACTTTGGAGCATGTATATCTCGAATGCCTGTCCTTGGATATCTCACAAATATCTCAAACTGAACAGGCTTTTAAAAAAATAGAACACTGCAAACATTAATCTGTCTCCAAAAAGAAAAAAAAAAGTAATTTTCTCTTCCAATATTCCTTACAGTACCAAATAGAACTAACATCCACTCACTTGCTAACCATGTCTACTAGTAGTGACCACTAGACTACTTAGCTATATGTAGCTGCAGTTGATATGGCTTTTTATAATTTAGATTATATTCCATGTAAGTTTATTTAGAAACATTTATTATAGAAAGTGTTAATAAAATCCCGGGTTGAGGATTCTCCTGCCTCAGCCTCCCAAGTAGGTGGGATTACATGCATGTGCTACTACACCTAGCTAATTTTGTATTTTTAGTAGAGACGGGATTTCTCCATGTTGATCAGGCTGGTCTTGAACTCCCAACCTCAGGTGATCCACCCCCCTCAGCCTCCCAAATTGCTGGGATTATAGGCATGAGCAACTATAAAAGACTAGCCAGAGATAGTCTTTAATAACATGAATATCTTTAATAATTTTTTAGTATAAATATATTATGTCAGGGTACATATGAGGTTAATTTAGTCCCACTTAAAATCAGTTCTGTGTTTGATTATATTTTTGTTTTGTTTTTAGAATTACATATACAGTCAACATATTAAACCAATCAGAATAGAATCCTTTTACTCCTACTTTCCAAATTTGACATCGGGACTATTAGTAAGATTGTCTGCATTTATTAGATTTATTTCTGATCATGAAATATACTTTTACTTCTTTTCAGTGGAGCAGTTTAATTGGCTATAGGAGATTTACTGCATGATTATGACTTATAATCAAGGCATTGAAATATTGTTATACATAAACTGTGATAACAAAGACGACGACTTGTTTATATTCAAATGCCAATCAAATTTGTCCTTTGGGACATTTGTTGACTTGTTAGGTTTTTATAACTTTGTTCCTTTCAGTGTTACTTTTTAAGTGCAGTATGGTCATCCCTTGGTGTATCATGGGAGATTGAGATTGGTTCTGGGACCTCCTGAAGATACCAAAATCCACAGATGCTTAAGTTTCTTGTTTTACATGGTGTAGTATTTGTATATAACCTACTCACATCCTTCCATATACTGGACTTTAAATCTCTAGATTACTTATAATACCTGATACAATGTAAATACTATATAAATAGTTGTTATACTATATTGTGTAGGGAATAATGATAAGAAAAAAAGTCTGTATCTGTTCATTACAGACACAACCAATCTTTTTTTCCCCCAAATATTTCTGATGTGCAGTTGGTTGAATCCATGGATACAGAACCCACAGATGCAGAGGGCTGACTGTACAAGTCTGTCAGAAAACTAAAGTGCTGGTAGGCTAATAATTGATCACTGTATGACTTATAATACAGGTGATACTACTTCTGATTCTAGATGGTAAGTATACTTTTCTCCTTTAATGGTTTTGTTTTTTTATTTCTGTGCTGTCAGTTTTTTTTCGGCTTTTAACCTATTTTTGTTTAGATATGGTATTGATAGCAATCCTAAAGTTTAAGTAGATGGATTTTGTAAGTTAGAGTTACTCTTCTTTTCTATCATATTTAGTAACATGTAGGGTATATAACTGCTGTGTTTGAGATAATAGAAGTTTACACATTGTTTAGTCACCAACTTTTAACATTTATTAAAAATAACCATTTTTCTTACAGTTTTCTAAACAGTTTCCACTCAGTTTAGATCTTTTGTGGTACTGCTTTTTGAAATCTGTGTTTGTGTGAAAGGCAGGAGGATTATGTGCCAGGGATACATCATAATATATTTGTTCTTCATGCAGAAAATCAGGTTTGTAAGTTATTGCTTCATTTTTACTTCCCCAAGAAAGGGATAAATGACTACACTTTTCTTTTTGAGACAAATACTGCAACAATGTGTAGAGGAACTCTATATACTGCTTACAATTGGCAGAAAATTATTAATATTTAGATAGAAGTGGCATCTAAACACATGGTTTACAAATTGAATCTGGGCAAGTTAGTGTAGGAAGAAAGTGAATTCAGTGGAAGGTTGCCACACAGATTTTTTTTTTTTTTNTTTTTTTTTTTTTTTTTTTTTTTTTTTTTAGTTTTAATGGTATCTGCTTTTAGTATGAATTGGAGAAAGGTTTTTCCCTACTCAATTTTATTTCATTTTTTACTCTCATTTGAGAAGCAATTTCTCCATGAGACAAATCTTTGACCCTTTTGTATTCTGCACTCCCATCCCCCTTGACTAGAAAATGCAGCTGCACACATTTTTTGTTTAGAGACAATGGATCACATGCTGTGTCACCTAAATCTATGACCAAGAGGCAGTTTTATCCTTAAGAGGCCATAATGCTTCAGTTCTCCTGGATATATGACATCATGTAGCATTATAATCAAATATACATCTTTTTGCAGTACATTTGGGATTTGAATTTGCCTTCTAATCTCAGTATTGGATTTTATGGCAATAGACATTATTTATAATGGAGAATCTTAATGAAAACAAAGAATGTATTGTTAAATCAATAGGAAAGGTTGTGAGTTCCTTTTATATGTCTTTTTTTTCTTCCATGAGGGTTACCAATGTTTTTAGATATTCTGAGATTATAGAATATCTTTAAAGCTATAGTGACTGTTAGGTTTGTTACACAGTGCCTTGCAAATAATGTGTGTTCAGTAAATGCTAGACCTTATTTTTGCTACTGACTCAACAAATTAACAGGAAGAATATTGTTTTTTTGAGTCAGAAGCAACCTTAATTACAAAGAAAAATAAATAAAAAATTGTTTTCCTTTTTAAAAATGAGAAAGCCTTCAGATTTAGAAAATATTAGTATCTATAAACTGCTAAAATATTTTATGTCAAGTTTATTATAATAAGCTGATTATAGAATAAATCTAGGAAATAACAATGCTGTGGCTTCCAGTCTTGAGAAATGGTGGTACCTTATTATAATTAATAAATATGGTTCATTCCTAAGAAGATTGGAGGTGAGGAAAGGAGAGGAAAATTGAATAGACATTTCTTTTATTATGTATTAACTCTTAGTGGCAAAGCAAGTTTAAATAAATTACAATGAAGTAATTGCGAGGCAGTTTCCATAAAATTCACAAACATTTGGATTTCTGGGCTTTGCCATAGCTCTGTAGTAGAATTATTTTTCTTCTCTGAAACATTGTTTAGTGATTTGAATTAAGTGAATGACTTCCTATTTCCCTTTACTAGGGTTATCTTAGCCTAAGTGAATTTTTTTTAAAATATTGGTTACTTTAGAGTGGTTGGATAAGAAAGCCACAAATCTGAGATTATGCCTACTTTCTGGTTGCTCTTTTGACATTTGTGAAATTGCTTGATTTGCTGATGACATGTAGTTCTTGGTGGGTGGTTAAGGGTAGCAAGTCAATAAAATAAAGTTTCCAAATATCTTAAGACCACCTAAAAAGAATTAGAGATTATAATCTTTTGAATGAGATGTAACCAAAAAATCCTATTCTTAAATGCTTCGGCATTGACCTATTTAAGTATTTAATGAGACGGATTTTAAGTAGGGAGCTGAAGTATAGGGTCAAAATGGTGAGAAACAATTTTATCTATAGGCTAGATGCTGCTATGTAGTTTGAGGTTAATTATTCCTTGCGTAAAGCGTGAGACTGGCTACAGTCTTTATCAGGGCCTCTTGGTGCAGTTATTCAAGTGTTGGTTTCAACTTCTTTCCTGTTCTAGTAGATATAACAGTTGGCATGGTTCTTTTTCACTCCAGTGTAGTAAAGCTTATTAGAAACAGCACAATTGATGTTCTTCATTACTCAAAAAGGTTATAAGGAAAGATATTCAGTGACTGGCTCAAGGGTACAAGGAATCAATTAATTTGCCTGAGTTTGCTTTGGGCTCTCAAGAATTGATTATTGTATTTTGTTTTGATCTGAGTTTTTTCTCAGTGCAACTTTTTTTTTTTTTTTGAGATAGAATTTTTCTCTTGCTGCCCAGCTGGAGTGCAATGGCACAATTTTGGTTCACTGCAGCCTCCACCTCCAGAGTGCAAGCGATTCTCCTGCCTCAGTCTCCGGAGTAGCTGGGATTACAGGCACGTACCACCATGCCTGGCTAATATTTTATATTTTTAGTAGAGATAGGTTTCAACATGTTAGTCAGGCTGGTTTCATACTCCTGGAATTGCAGGTGAGAGCCACCATTCCCAACAGAAATGTAATTTTTTTTTTTTAAGACAAATTCTTGCTCTGTTGCTTAGGTTGGAGTACAGTGGCATGATTTCGGCTTGCTGAAACCTCCACCTCTTGGGTTCAGGTGATTCTCCTGCCTCAGCCTCCTGAGTAGTTGGGATTACCGGTGCCCACCACCACGCCTGGCTAATTTTTGTATTTTATAGAGATGGGGTTTTGCCATGTTGGCTAGGCTGGTCTCAAACTCCTGACCTCAGGTGATCCGCCCACCTTTGCCTCCCAGAGTGCAAAGATTACAGCCATGAGCCACTATGTCCAACTATAAACTTTCAAAAATTAAACAATTATTTAGAAACAACATAGATTTAGGACTCTAAGAATTATGGTATCGGTAAGAGAGAAACTTAATTAAACTTCAAAATGGAGCATGAGATTCAATAATAAAACTTTAAAAACACTTTGTGAAGGTGTTGAACACATAATTAATTGAACCAAATTAATTGCAGCTATTCCTTATTTGCTGTGGACCTATATATGTTACTGATGTATACACTAAAAAACATTTATGTTGGCCAGACGCAGTGGTTCATGCCTGTAATCCTCACAATTTGGGAGGCTGAGGCAGGAGGATCACTTGAGCCCAGGAGTTTGAGACCAACCTAAGCAACATAGGAAGACCCTGCCTCTACAGAAGTAAGAAAATTAGCTGAGTGTGGTGAAACACACCTGTTGTCCCAGCTACTCGGGGAGCTGAGGTGGGAGGATTGCTTGAACCCAAGAGCTCAAGGTTGCAATGAGCTATGATCATGCCATTGCAGTCCGGCCTGGGCAACAGAATGAGGAA